TACACTCACCATACGAAACACAGCAGCATCAAGCTACTATTTCACGCTGGTATTCTGTGAGAGCGTGGTTCTTCCCCGGTCGAGCCAACCCATTCCTGCTACAACAATACTACTAATATAGCTGTAGTGTGGCTCTACCACGTCAAAAAGTCTTACGTAAATTTCACCTGATGTTAAACACATCCACATACGTTCTTAAATAAAAATGAAAACGCAGTTGCGTTGTCACCGGCACCGTGGCTTTATTACGTTTATTATGTAATAATTCAATGTCGTCTCATGGTCAAATTAGTGGGTAGTATATCGGTAATTGATATTGTTTCCATGCGAGTGCACATTGTAATTTAATCAATGTTATCTCAGGTTCTCCTGCCGCTTTATTTTAACTGTGTCATTACGTACGTCTTTAAGATAAATGCAAAGAAATACAAACTTTTCGTATACAAACGGTCTCATCCATAAAGTTTAAAGGTGGATAACAAACGAGCACACAATAAAGATATTAATATTTACGTTGCAACCATCCGCTAAATTAAAGACTGATTTGTCTTAACTAGATTGAAGAGCACCTCTAAGCTAAGCTTAGCGGTCAGCCGCCGTAGAGTCTACATCACCTGAAGATGCCTCGTGTACAGGCGAAACACGTGTCGTATTATCGTCTATGGTGTGTCTTTCCTAGAATAGCGGTGTTGGGAGTAGTGGTGCTGAAGTGGTGACGGGATTAGTGCAAGCTATTGAGGGAGGTGCTCTTCAATCTAGGTAAAACAAATCATCGTATTTATTTAGCTCGTATTTAATCTTTATTTAATAGATTTCCGCAAATTAACGCCCGATTTTATCAATTAACGAGCACACAGCCATCCGATGGTGGTACTGTGACCCAAAGACATCTATATCTATCCTCGAATAGGAATCAAAATGCAGATGCGTTGTCACTATTGAGAAGGCCTCCGTTCTCTATACTCACCATACGAAACACAGCAGCGTTGAGCTACTATTTCACGCCGATATTCTACGAGAGCGTGCCCCCCCCCCCCCCCCCGATTGAGTCGACCCATTCGTGCTACTACTATAATTGGAGCATAGCTCTACCACGTAAAAAAATTATAAGGAAATGTTTGCATCTCTTTGCGCTGAGTCGCGGCGTATGATAAGCTATCACCCGACCCGTGGGTATCCTAAGGACGAGGAAATGCCAGAAAAAACTTATGCCTGCCGACAGATGGCGGTATAACCGTCTAGTTTACGTGAGACATAAAACACCCAGACCGGCGAAGGGCAGCGCGTCAAAGCAAAGGACGTTTGTTACTGCGATCGTTAATTAATCCGCCTGAAACCGTTACGATTAAGAATACCTTGAAAATGAATCGAAGTTTTGGGGGCGTGGCTTATTCCTTTGTCGGTGAAGCTAACGGATGACTGCGGGAGTGTCAAAATGAAAGTGATGCAATGACTTCATAGTACGCAAATTATGAGATAGCCATACCGAGCAAGCGCTCGGTAAAAAACTAAGTAAGCGCCATCAACATTTTTATTTATTTTAACAAAACTTCAATATGGATTAAAAAGTGGTTTATGAGAACTTAGATATGATTATTTATTATACCTTAAAATTCCATGAAATTATTTGTAAGAATATTGTGGTGTCATCGAGAAATGTAAATAATTAGAGCCTATTTTGCAATTTTTTTCTATCGAGAAAATTACATGATATCGTGTTTTCCTTTTATGCAATTCAAGGTCATATAGTCAAACATTATACTGGTGATCTTTTTTACAGTCTGGAAAAAAATAGGGTGTTACATGTGAACCGAGTAGAAGCCTATGGCACTGATATTTTACAAAAAATAAAAAAATTATTTTGTATTTAATAAATTAATCAATTAAAATCTACGGAAATTCAAATCGTATCCACCGGATCAGCTGCTTACAATTATAATTATTACGACCCTGCTTTACAAACGGCAATAAAACAATTTTAGTAGGCATCTTTGACCTTGTCACTTCGCAGGGTCATAGGCTATGATTATGACTTATTTCAAAATGTTTGTTTTTATTTTTTTAAAATATCAGTGCCATAAGATTCTACTCCGTTCACATGTTACACGCTTACTTGGTCCTAGACAATTATGCATGCGCCTGAAAAGGGAGCGCTAAAAGAATTTTAATGTATGAAATCTCCACCATAATTTGCTTGGTTACTTACGAAATTTAAATAAAAAACATTCTTTTTTATACAATAAGGGTAACAAACGAGCATACAGTCCAACTGATGTTAAGTGGATGTTGTGGTCCATAAAAATCTACATCTATACTACATTATGAATCAAAATGCAGATACGTAACCCCTCAAGACTCCGACTCTATGCACTCACCATACGAAACACAGTAGCATTAAGCTAATACTTTACGCTGGTCTTCTATAAAGAGCGTAGTCCTTCCCCGATAGAGCGAACCCATTTGTGCTACAATGATCATGTCGCAGTAATATGGTTAAAGCCGAGATATAATTATTACTCTAGGTATATAGCTATATACCGTAATAAAGTATGACATATATGACAGCGGTTCCTAACTATCTTGCCAGACTAATCTAGTGAAATAATTATAATTGTAAACTATGTACAGGAGCACACTCGTGTAGAAAATGTTTGTGTTATTTGTGGAGTATCATCATGTGGTGAAGGTGAACGAAAAAAGTATTCGGCACTAGAGATAAATATTTACGCAACTAGAAAAGAGCTGCTGAAAATAAAAAAAAAAAAAGAATCCTCCGACAAATTGCGCGACAGTGAGATTGGATCTTTAGTTCCTGTTGTATTGTTGTTCATGTTATTTTGACAGTAGGTTTAAGGTGCGGCTGGGGTGGCTCTTGGGCCACCCTAAAGCCGCGTACATTATAATGATATAAAATATTACATTGAAAGAATGGAACTTTTCAATTTGAAAAATTCAAAAAGTTAAGTGAAAAATAGTTTGGACTAAAATTCTTAGTCAACATATGCTTATATTTATTTCCCTAAATTAGTCTAGTAAGATAGTTATATAACTAGATTTAGTAGTTTAGAACTCCATCGCGGACAAACAATGTGACACTCATATATATATATATATATATATATATATATATATATATATATATATATATATATATATATACATAAATAAAGAAATTCTATGGCGAGGCCTATGTTCAGCACTGGACTATAGAAATGCTATAATAAGTGAATGAATAAAAATTAAGTGAAATGGCCTTTAAACCATAGAATATTATAATACACAATAGAATGGCTGTCAACCTTATTTTGTACGAGGATCGGCGTCGCCGGGAGCATACAAGCAATTACATTTTTTTATAGGAAAAGGGTGACACGCTAGCACACAGTCCATCTGACGGTAAGTGGTTGCTGTGACCCATAGACATCTACATCCATCCTAGTTTGCGAATCAAAATGAAGATACGTTGTCAGCCTTGAGGACTAAGATGGAATGCCTCTTTTCCAGTAAAAAGGGTCTCCGGTTCTGTACACTCACCATGACGAAACACAGCATTAAGCTGCTATTTGACGCTGGTATTCTGTGAGAGCGTGGTCCTTCCCCGGTCGAGCCGACCCATTCCTGCTACAACTATACTACTAATATAGCTGTAGTGTGGCTCTACCACGTCCGAAATTTTTATTACATTTTATTATCAGTTATTACTACTACAAACCCGATTTGCTGTGTTGACAGGCTGATTTGACACAAATCACAAAATATAAATAGTTTCGACTTACTGGTTGTAGGATATATTTCCTTTATTTAAATTCCATTTTCCGCTGTTCTTTCGACATGTAATTATTGCACAATTTGCCATTTTTTAAATAATTTGCATGCAGCGACGCTTGACACGAAAATTGGAAACGCTTAATTGTGTTGACATTTATAGGTGTGAATTGACATGTTAGTGACATTTTAGTGGATACACGGGTTCCGCCCACTCCCCCGTTCCATTATATATGTATTATAGTATTCTATGTTTTAAACAATGACTCGACTAAGACAATTTTATTTTTAAAACAACTTATACCGAATGTGGGAAGTAATTATTTGTTTATGTGTTAGTGCCATACTGCAGATATTTATGATCCTAGCACAAATGGGTCGGCTCGAGAGGGGAAAGACCACACTCTCACAGAAAAATAGTGTGAAAGATCAGTGAGTTTACAGAACTGGCGACCTTTTGTTCCTGGAAACCAGACATTCCATCTTAGTCAACAGACTGTGGTGATGCATCTGAATTTTGATTCTTAATCGAGGGTAGATGTAAGTGTCTATAAGCCACAGTACCACTTACCATCAAGTGGACTGTGTGCTCATTTGTTATCCTTATTCTATATAAAAATGTATCAAAAAAATACGTGTGGCACTCGGGGACCGCCCCGGTAAAGCTATATATATATAGCATTTTTATCAACTTATGCAATTATAATTATTTATTTATTTTATTTATGCAGTATTTGTTTTCTTTGTTTTTTTTCTTCGATATTAATTCAAGTTTTTTCTTTGATATTCATTGAAGTTACACTTTTTGAGCGTGGTGACCGATAAGAAAACAATTTTTTTTCTTTTATTGAATAAATGAGAAGTTAATATAGTTTAAAATATTTTTATTATCTTACAATAAATGTAGGTTATTTAGGAATTTTGATCATTAAAACTATAGGTTTATGGTAATTAACGAGTTTTTCCGACAAACGATAATTTTCTATAAATTCTGTGTTTATTAAATACTCTAAATTCACGAAAGTTGCAAGCATTAGACGATGTTAGGTTTTTGGGTCTTAGGTTTTTTCGTTACGGAATTTCTTGATTCGGTCGCCGCGCTCAAAGCCCACAACAAAAGCTATGCAATAGCTTAAAACCGCTAAACCAGAAGCTCACAAAAAATTACATAAATTACACATAAAAAAATACAAATTTGTATTGTGTTAGTAACAGTGTATATAAATTTGATTTACCGCATGGGGCGTTTCGATAGTGTAAACGACGACATTTCCACCGACGTGGGTCAGGAGGCCTAAAAGGCAGGTGGCGACAGCACATAGCATGGTGCTAGTGCATCACGCTCAGCAGGGGTACTATAGGTCACGTCTCCTGCGCTCTTAGGTAGGCTGTTTCGGACCAATGAGGGTGCATGGTCTGCTCTCCTGGAAATTAAATGTGCAATGTTAAACTGTAAACAATACTATTGTGACTTCTTGATTTGTATTAACTTTGAAGACATCTGTTAATAATATTATGCCACAGACAACTTCATGGCGCAGTGGCTTAGTGGCTGTGGCGCTGCAGCTCGCGGACTCGAATCCCGCACAGAACTAGTGTACGGCCTACAATATACTATAAGGCCTGCATGAACTACAAATAATTGTTCTAGGGTTGGATGTTTTTACTTGTGAAATTCATGTATAAACTGCCTCCACAATACAAGTTCAAACCTAATACGTATTTAAATAAAAAAACAAATGAGTTTTCACACTCATAGTACCTGCTTGTTAAACTGTGCAAGTTATTGATTCATAGAAATAGAATTATAGAAGTCGCTTGCCCAGTATGGTTACTATGGCATATATTACATATATATAAGTAATACTAGTTGGCCAGTCAGACTTTTTTCTGCCTTTTCTGATGACCTTTTGTCTTTTAAAAATCAAAAAATAATATTGAGGGTCACTTATCAGTATAAAAACTATCCTATTTCTCAAATTAGAGCAAGCAATACACATTTGCAAATGCTCAGCACCATAGTTTATGGCAATCTATTGGAGGCCTATGTCCAGAAATGAACTTGTGATATATATAAGGCTGGGCTGTAGCGGCAGTGATAGTCAAATAATAAAATAACATTATAAAATCAACTTTTTAATGAATTAAAATAGAATAATTTTATTATTATAATGATTAACTCTATAAGTATTACTTATCTCACTCACTACTTCTCTATTAACGCAAACATGCACAATGAAGATTCATCAATAGAAGTTTTTGCTATATTACTTATCAGTACTATTACTGTAACATACATAGCATTAATCTATAAACAGATTAAATAAATTGCAATTCCATTGTTTTATAGACAAAATATCGTAACAAAAGAATGAAATGTATGTTAATGTGATTAGATGTTTATTATATGCTATATTTTATTGAACACAGAATATATATATATATATATATATAATATATTTTAATTATGTGTTCAATAAAGAAATATTATTATTATTAGTACCCGGATGACCGAGCTTTGCTCAGTTTTTTTTAAATTTCATTTAGATACAAATTACATACTGATGAATAATATTTTTTTGATCTTATAGACATAATAGAAAAAACTGAACACACTTCAGAACACCGTACAAAATGCAGCAATGTTCTTCTTTTATGCTGGTATTCCATGGAGCATGGTCCTACCCTGGTTGAGCTGAACCATTATGCTGCAGTCATAAAATAGCTGCAGCGGAACCATGCACCATGGAACATTTTTTAATCTTATGTTCAGAATAATCTACATAGTTTACACATACATTACAATGGAAGGATACTGGTCTACGCATATGTCAGTGAGTCATCCAAGTTTGGAAAAGAAAAGGCCTGCCAAAATTAGTCCCAGATCAAAAACATGCTTTTGAGACTATTGTCAATGGTGTGAAATAACAAAAGAACAATTTTTTTTTGGATGCACCAGGTGGCACTGGTAAGACGTTTTTGCAAATTTGATACTTGCTAAGATACGACAATCAGGGAAGATAGCGATAGCAGTTGCTGCACCAGCAGTGTGTTGCATGAACCATTACGAGTTACTCCATCTTATTTTTATCACTAATTGTATAAATTAGAGTGAGGAGCAGTGTCAAAGATGAGTGGTAGTTTGATTTGCTAACACCAATGCACTTGCCAAACATAGCTATTAAGGCAAATCCTACGTACAATAGGAAAGGTTCATGTCCAGTAGTAGGCATCTATAAGTAGCTATTGCTATGTGGAATTTGTTTAAAGCTAACGGTAGTTATTTTTATGTTTTACCAATAGTTACCAATATTTCTGCCCTTGGACACACCAGCAAATCCAGCAGGACTTCTTTTAAAAAAAATGTTTACAATCATATATTTTAATGTAAATTTAACTATACAAATTATAATAGCAAATACATTGGTATCAAATAGCAATCACCTCATTCTTAGAGGTTATTATCATCTATAAATTCCTTAATATTATAATATTATCCCTTTATATACAATCTTTGTTTATTTGTTTTTGAACTTGCCAAGAGTTCTTGACATTGGAACCAAATAGAGTCAACACTAGTATACATTTGCAGCAGTTTCATGCATAGTTGAAAGCTTCCAAATATTCACAAATTGTCCATAATTAAAGTCAGACTAGAGAATAGAATAGCCTCAATAAATTATTACCTGTTTGTAATGGAATTTCAATAAGCTTGCAGTAAGACTAACTCGATTTTCTTGTTGTTGTTATATCCACAGAATCATGAAATGTTTATATTATATAAGATGTTATGTGATAAAGTTATATGAAAAACATTTCGTAAGGTTTACTTTGATATGCATATCCTTCAAGTCACATGGTTACCGTGGATAAAAGCAAAACTATTAACACGTTGAAGTAATCGTAATGATTATAGAATTATGGTTGGCACAAAATGGTTGGAATTTCTTATCAAAATGTGTGTCAAAATTGAGGACAATCAAGAGATAACGTTCATCAGTTGTTTTATATTTATATACAGTTGTGTACATTGTTTTGGAAATGATAACAAAGCCGTTTTTGTAATCAAAATAATTGCAACGCAGGTGCAGCCTAAATTAAAGTTGGTGCAAATTGTAAATTAGCATTGTAGCACTTAAGTTTAATTAAACAGTCGGAACAAATTAGCCTCGGGTCACGTGGACAACCACAATTTTATCCCTTGTTTGATATTCATAACTTCAAAGCGACAAATCCAAACTATTAGTTCGATAAACGGAAAACAAAAAAGAAACCAAAATATACTTACATATAAAATAACAGGAATGTGCGTAAATAAAAATCAATGTCACTTTTGCAACAATAACACAATATCTTTAGAATTTGACAAAGAAATAATTCATATGGCAAAAATTTACTAACTACGACTGAATCTGAATCTGTGAATCACACTTCAAAGATCACATACAAAATTTTATGTCAAATCAAATTGACTGTCATTACTAATTACGGTAACGTTCATGGAGGAAACGTTCATAATTAAAAAAATAAACAACGCGTTCTTTAGTTCTATACCTATATATTGTTTAACGAAGATAGAATATAGAATTACATTTAAAAAGATAAGTTCTTTGTTATACAGTACCAATTAAATAAATAATAATTTTAACGTATTATTGAGCGCCTAATTTGACGTCAGGTACCTGGCACTAGCGCCATCTAGTGTCGGGGACCAGAGCGAGGAGAGCTTCTTAGAAAATGTCAATCCTGATCTTTCGACCAACAGCGCCATCTAGAATCGAACAGAAGAATTAAGCTTTCTAGAAGCCCTACACTCGAACTTTCTGCGTCTGGTCGTTCGGCGCCCGTATTTACTGGAATATTCTGGATGTTTCGGTGTAAAAGGTGTATTTAAATCCGCTGGAATATTTCCACTGTTCCTGTCATATTAAAATCTTTTCAATTGAAAACTCCTTGTTTTCAAAAATCGAATACCATTTATTTATTAAATTCTCTGTCTTGTTACAAGGTTTTGTCGAACTTGTTTAGTCGTTGAGAAAATGGAATTGACTCGAGAAAATTCAAGAGCTATGATTTATTATGACTTTCGAAGTGGTTTAACACAAAAACAGTGTGTTGACCGGATGATTTCTGCATTTGGTGATGAAGCCCCATCCAAATCCACAATTTATCGCTGGTTTTCTGAATTTCAATGTGGACGTGTCAAGCTCAGTGATGATCCCCGTCAAGGTCGTCCAAAAACTGCAATCACCCAAGAAAACGTTGATGCTGTGCGTAAGCTGATTGAGGAAGATCGACATGTGACATACCGCGAAATTCAGGCAACTTTAGACATTGGCATGAGTCAAATACAAATAATCTTGCATGAACAATTAGGTGTAAAAAAGTTGTTTTCCGATGGATACCGCATTCGCTCTGTGAAGAGCAAAAAGCGGCTCGCGTTACTTGGTGCGTCAGAACTCTCGAAAGATTCCACGTAGGATCCTCAAATGCTGTATACAACATCGTATCATGTGACGAATTCTGGATATACGCGTACGAACCCGAAACAAAAAACCAGTCAGGAGTTTGGGTGTTCGAAAATGAGTTAAAGCCAACTAAAATTGTTCGTTCACGGAGTGTTGCAAAAAAATTGGTGGCCACGTTTGTCTTCGAAACCGGCCATGTTACGACTATTCCTCTTGAGGGACAAAGAACGGTTAATGCACAATGGTATGCTAGCATTTGTTTGCCACAGGTCGTTTCTGAACTCCGTAAAGAGAACTGCAACCGCCGCATCATCCTCCATCACGACAATGCGAGTTCTCACACCGCACATAGAACAAAAGAGTTTTTAGAGCAAGAAAACATAGAATTATTAGACCATCCGCCGTACTGCTCCGAGCTAAGCCCTAATGATTTCTATACTTTACCTAAAATAAGGAAAAATTGCGTGGACAGAGATTTTCATCACCTGAAGAAGCTGTGGATGCCTACAAAACGGCCATTTTGGAGACCCCAACTTCCGAATGGAATGGTTGCTTCAGTGATTGGTTCCATCGTATGGAAAAAACGTGTCAAATTTCGCGGAGAATACTTCGAAAAGCAATAAATACATTTTTAAATAGTAATGTTGTGTCACTTCCTTGATTCCCGAAATTTTCAGTATTGAATTAGGTTTTCGAATGTATTATTTAGTTTCGTCTCCTGTTTGGTAATTTTTGGTAGATTGACATATTTTTAGCAGAAATTTTGGATAATTACGGTCTATCTATTCATCATAATAATAAT